TGCTTGGTCTATCCATGAAACAGGTTGCTACTGAGAAATTCTAATTTAACAGAGACATGGTAATTAAAGGCTCTTAATTTTACTAACAAAATGAGGGTGAGAGGGAGGACAAAGACTGAATTTTATGGTGGTGTTAAGTGAATCAGTGATAAACCATAAACCTGTTTCGTCTTTGTCAATTTGGGATCCATAACCATGATGTAGTGTTGTTATTTATTTTGTACAAGAGACTTTGCTCAGTGTATCATAGCTTGTATTTTCACATGGCAGAATGGAAGAATTCCATAGCTTTACATTTCTGATCTGTAATGTGTGAAATTTAAAAGGTTATGTTTCATGATATGAGTTTCAGAATGTAGACTTGACATTTATGGAACAAGTAGAAATCTGGGACGATGTTGCTTAATGCAACCAAGTGTTACATGTCTTTGTTGTTAATAACTTAATTTTTAACATTCTCAGCATGTCACGCATTTCAACTCAAATGAAAGTGGTTTTCTGCATTAATGGTTTATCTGTGTGCGTTTTTTCAGAGTTGAAAAGATGTGGGTAAGAAAAATAATTTTTAAAAATTGCCAAGCAACAGTAAAATCAGAGCACAGAGCTTGACATTTTGCTTCTGGTGCTCTTTTGGGGAGGTATTTTGCCCCCATCTCCAGTTACCTTTYAGTTTATATTGTTTCCTTTCTTTCCTACTTGAAWGATGACTTTATGAGTTTTTACTGAAGAGACTCAACCATTTTGTCACATGGGTGAAAAAGTTTTTCCTGTGTCAAGATMAACTAAATATGAAATTATTATTCTTAAGAGCATCTCAACGGCATTCATGACACCTCCAAAATACTGCTATACTACAGTAGGGATAGAAACTCCCTGAAAAAAAAAAAGGGAACCTTGCTTTTGTCACCTCTTTATTAAAAAAAATCCCTCTTGTAATTAGAAGTTCATTGTTAATTTCATGATGTTTTTGTTTTGCCATCTATCTTCAGAGTTTATGTTTCTTAATTCTCATATTTTTATTTTATTTTGAGTTCTTTGGATGAAAATGGATTGATAGTTTACTTAAAGATTTTGGCAATAAAAATAACTTCATTAAACCAAATAATTATGCCAAGCGTTGTATAATGACCGTGGCAGTGTTATTCAACAGATGGTCACAGGTTCATTTTTATGAATGGGAATATTGGGAATTCTCCATACTCATTATGTGCRAGAGATTCACAGATGTCATTGCAAATCTGCTTGTGAAAGGCTGGATGTAAGTATTATATTTTGGTGGTAATTTTAAGAGAGCTTTTAATGTTTTAACTTGTATATTACATGAACTTTCATTTTCTTTCTTTCTTTTGATTTATTTGCTGTATAAATAGGATGGTAGTAATATCTTACAGGATGCTTCAGCAGTGGTCAGTTCTAGGTATTTAAAACTTGCATCTTTCTTAACTCAAGCATTTAGCGTGAACTGATTGAATGCATTTGAAATGTAAACCTGGAGTCTCATTAAAGAAAAATATTCTTTATGTAAGCTATCATATGCGTTACATGTGTTTTACTCTAACTTTCTATAATGAAAATGACACCTTACCATTTGGTAAAATCATCATCCGTTTCTTGCAGTTCTTTAGGAAGTCCAGCTAGGAGCTTATATATCTCTAAATATGGATGAGATGTAAAAGGCTGTGTCAGTAAAAGATGCAGTATGTGTTAGTTATTGTTTCCATATCTACAGTGAAATCTGGAACCATTTTTCCATGGAATAAGTTACAACATTTCTCATTTTCTTCAGTGCTAGTTATAAATTTGATTTATTTGGTCGTGGTGACTAGGAAAGCACTAAATTAACTCGGTGCACTAAAAGCTCAGTATAGCAGGCATTTGGTGCATGTTTCACTTGGAGTAATCTCATTGACTTCCCAGCTAAGTAGAATTAATCTTGGGTTGCAAGATTCTTGTCTTATCCTACAGTAGTCTTGTATTCTAAAATGAATATCCCTCAGGCTAGGTGCAGAGAAGTTATATATTTGTCCTCAGCAGAGACTACAGAGATTTTCCTTCATTTATACTTAACTCCTTCTGGTGTTTGGCTTCCCTTGTAACTGGGTGTCAGTCACCAGGTTCTCCCACCACTGGGTTGCACAGACCCTGCAGCTTCAAATTCAAAGGAGAATTTAACACARAATTGTTGTGATTAGCTGGGCATTTCACAACAAGAATGTCTGTGCAGAATCTCAGCCAACTCTTTACCCTGCAAATCCTATGTTAAATTATTTACTTGATATCTTTGTACCCTCCTCCCCTGCCAGATAGCTTTCATTTGACAAATGGAATGAGAGAGAGGGACGGGGAAGATTGTGTGTGGATTCTCTATACACAGGTTAATTAATTGGTAACTCATTAGCTTTGTGTTTAAAATTTTACTTAGATTTTAATGTCCACATGGCAGAGAGTTGGATTGGGGGGGGGGGGGGTGTCTTTTGGGTTTGTTTTTTTTTGTTCTACAGCCTGTCCTTCAGGGGTGTGTAGCTTTACTGTCAGCTTGAGTCATCCCTGATTTTTAGACTTAACTCGGGCCCTGTTTGGTGATGGGTTCTTTACACTGTGAAACTGGAGTGAATCAGTGGATATTAGGGAAAAAGAAATCCTGAAAAAACATGTGTGTCGAAGGGAAATGGTATCTTTAGGGTTTGTGCTTGACCCTCACATACAGAGATGCTTAGTCTGTAGCTCGAGAAGTGTGCTCTGTCTCAAAGTAAATAGTTCTGGTAGCTCTGTCTGCCTCTGGCTGTATTTGCTTGTCTGACTGTCCAGGGAGTGTCTTGCATTAGCGTTCCATGGGCATGGGTTGGCCTGTGCTCCTTGGAAATGCCAGATCAGTTGCATAAATGTGTGCTGGAGGGCCACAAAGGGTCTGCCAGTACCACAAAAGAAGGTAAGTGCTGCACCTGACAAAAATTGGGTTGTGTTMCCCCGGCTCCAGCAGCACGTGGGTCACCTGAGGTGCAAAAACACTGAGTGCCCGTCACTGTTGGTTCCTTTCTCTCCTTCGTGGGAGTTCAGTCTGAGCATTGCAAATCATCTGTGAGGCTTGACAAAGAATCTGCCTTTGCCACAGTGGCTTTATAAATCATTAAAATGGTATTTCCTTATGCATGCTGGCAGCAAGGCTATGGAGCCTTGGTAGAGGGGGAAATTATCTTGGAAAGTCAAGAGGAGGCAGGAGGACAACATGGAGCATTGTTTGGGCTCTAACCATTTGTCTAGGGAGGATGACATGAGGATGACATCAGGCAAATCAAGGTGTGGGGCACCATGAGGCAGAGTTTGGGTTGTGGTTGTATTTGTGTGTTGTTAGTACAGACACTGCCTGTCTTTTCAGTTAATTTTTAGTGAACTGTTTCCCACTGTCTCAGTGAACCATTTCTCACTGTCAAACCTGGTTTGACACTTAGGTTTACAGGGTAATTTTTSCAATTTTGGGGAATTTTGAGTAATGTTAACATTTTAGAATTTTCTGTCCACAAGTCTGACTGTGCTTGTTCGATATCAGCATGAATTTTCTATCTCAAAAATGTTTGAAGTATAATCTGTTCTTTATGGCTTTCTGCTGCTTCTTTGGTTCAGCACAGATCTGACCAGCTTCCTCTCTTTGTTTGATTTCAAGTGTTCTAATTTGCTTTTTATTGCACAGTGCTTACGTGTCTTTTGAGAAGTACAATAAAATGGGTTAATCCATGAAATAGCTTCTATGTGGCTGGTGTATTTTACATTCTGTAGAGTGTTATTTAGAAGAATGGACCAATATTGATTTCTTTCTTCTCAGAGTTGGTTTTTTTTCCTGTTATTTAGCAATGTGAATGATCTGGAAAGGTATTACAATCCATTAAAGTTACAGACTTAAACCTTATAGGGCATCAGTCATTCATGCTCATAAACCTATAGGGATAATTCATATCAAATATGTTCCTTGTTGATATGGTATTACTTTAATAAATCCCCCAAGTTCATAACACAAATCACAATTGTAAAAATAGAGTGCGCAGTAAGAATGGAGAAAAATAGACAGGAGGCTAGGAGAGATCTGTATTAAGCCCAGCCCATTCTGATTAATTCCAGAATTTTAATGCTTGCAGATGTATTAATTGGCAGGTATTCATATTTGTATGTTTTAAGATCTTTTGAATGAGATATCATTTTCCATATAAAACAGTCTGATGTATATTTGCTATTTCTAATCTTTAAATATTTTATATTACATTATCAGCCCTGTATTCGACACATTTATGAAACACAAAGCACTTCCATTTGTAGAGATTTATTCGTGTATCATTTTTCCCCAGATTTGCCAGAACACCATCATGTTCGTGTTCTGAAGGTTAATGCCCAAAGTCAAACAGACAGAAGCCAAATGCTGCAAGGTTTCCAAGATTAGGACTGATTCCCTTCACGAAAATAAATGATTCCTGCCATGTTCAGTGATTTTGTGCAGCACTACTCACGGCTGAGTGAGTGCATCAATACTGTAGTCCTTACATGCTGTACATACTGATGACACTCTGTGTTAACTTGATTGACTGAGCAGTATACTGGAGAGGATGCACCTGCGAGAGATGTGCAGACATATATATTTTTATTCTGATTTTGAAACATTTTGGYTTTCCTTTTTTTTTTTTTTGGAAGTCTTAGTTTCACATTTCATGGGTTATCACGTTGTGCTGTTAAGGTAGAGCAAACAGTTACGTGCTTCTTTGTTGTCAAAATTGGATTGGAAAATGATCTAAGGTGCATCTTCTTTCTCTATTAAAAAAAGGGAAAAAAGCCTGATTTTATATTTTAAAAGAAAATGACATAAAGAGGACGAGTGTGAAGTCTGGCAAGTCAGTAGCTGTGTAAATTATGCTTATTTTAATGGATTCAGTTTAATGGTAGAGAAATGTCATGTGTAATTCACTTATAAGCATTATTTTTTGCTACAGTTTTATGTTTTGTTATCGTTTTTGTAGGCTTTAAGACAACAGCAGAAAAGAAGAAATGGAGTCTCAATGATGGTAAACAAGACTGTTCCTCGTGTTGTTTTGACACCATTAAAGGTGTCCGATGAGCAGTCGGATTCACCTTCAGGTAAATAGCTAAAGGACCGTTTGCAAGATCAGCTCTAGTCACAGAGCCTTCCTCTGAATCAGCTGTGTAGCATACAGATTTTGGAATTGCTGAAATAGTATTTCCACTGAGTGGCTTTGTTTAACGTCTTTATTTCCTTATCAAGTCTCGTGTCTCAAGGATGGAGGTTTTTCGTTAACATAGAACTGGAGGCACACAGTAAAATGACAATTGGTAATAGCAGCAGCTTTAAAGGAATGCAAAGTAACATTTTGTTTGGCTCTGGAGCTCTAATGGAGGACCACATGCTGGTATTCAATGCCATAAAAAGGGGAAGGGGGGGAAGGCGAGCTTCTCTGTGAGTGTGAATTTGTGTCTCAGTTCTGCATTGCAATACTCAAATCCTTTTGTTAGCTTTTCTTCTTCTTATAYCGTGCTTATCACTGCAGCATAACCTTGACCTTTAGCTCTCGTGTTTAAGTTGCTTCATTTTAAGAGATTTCTGTGTCTRTGTTTAACACAAATTGACAATTGTATTTCCAAACATATATTTTCTTTGAATGTTTCTTCACAAAGAAATGATTTTTTTTCAGCCTCAGATTGCTTTACAGCCCCATAACTTGCGGTTAAAATATTTTTTAAAATATCTCTTGGGCATTATAAAACTATGTTATTTTTATTAGATCAGTGAACATTTTTATTGACTGCAGTGTTCAGTAAACTTTAGTTTTCAGCACTTAATTGATTTATTGAGCTTTTACTTCCAATTTCTCTGATGAGGAGGAATTGTATTGTGACCAGAAAAGTATATTGCCTTTCAGCAAGAAGATGCCAATTTTTTTAAGATCCTATTTTTGTTCTGTTTACGGTGTAGGGGGTGCTGAGGGGATTGTTAGTAAAAGTGCAAAAGCATCATATTTGTGGGGTTTTATTTTTTTTCCAAAGGATCTGAATCTAAAAATGGTGAAGCAGATGGTTCTGATAAAGAGATGAAACATGGGCAAAAGTCTCCAACTGGAAAACAAACAAGCCAGCACTTAAAGAGGTTAAAAAAATCTGGTTTAGGTGAGTAGGAGTAAAAACATCTTACTTATAATACTGATGTTTTTCTAAACTCTGTTTACTCTTGAGAAGTTTTATTTTTCTGGTTTACCTGTCCCTTTTACAAAYTCAGCAGCTGACCCTCTCTCAAGAAGACGTGTCTGTCTGCCTGGAAAATCCATGGTCAATCTCTTCCTTCCCAGAATGAGTTCCTGTAGTTGCTTCTTAAAGTGTGACAGACCTAAGCAAATGCAGGCAGAGAGGTGATTTAGCAATTAGATTCTGATTGTTACATTCTGATTTTTGGGGGGCTGGGGGTGGGGTGTAACAGTTATTCTTTCTTTATGGTGAATTTTCTTGCCATCTAATGTGCATTTATTCCCAGAGTTAGTAGCATATTTGCTTACATGCTTTCCTATTAAAAGTTAACCTTCTCTTTTTTTCATTTGCATTATTGCATGTTATATAGAGATTTGGCATAAAATTTTTGGGTTGGTTCTCTTCCTTTGGTTGATTTATTTCCTCAGTTGGATTTGTAATTGCTTTGAAGGTTCATCTCTTGAGGTAGTAGATACAGTTTCTGGTTTTATTTTCTGTGGGTTTTTTAGCAAGGTTCGTGGATCATGTTCTGTAATTAACAAAGAATTTTCTCTGAAGAGTTGCTAAGAGTAAATTCTCAATCTCCATGTGATAGGCAGATTTTTCTGCTCTGCATGAAATTTAATTGGAAAAGTTCCCTAGGGACCCAGAATCTAGTGTTCACTAAGACTCTTGTCTCTGCATAAGTAAAGTTGAATAATGACATAACTGTTTCTTTATCTTTGCAAAGTACTTTTTGCATTCAGCAGAATGCTGAATCATTTAGAGAAGTATTTTGCAATGTGACCATGTTGGAAAAGATAAGAAACAAGCTTTTTGTAGTGGGTAAATCCTAAAAGTTATTTTATGTCTGTCTTTGTGAGGATAAGATTGTTCTTCATTCATCTTTGTAAATCGTCACTACATGTTGTGTTTGGTATACTTTCTGAGGTCTGATTACATATGATTACTTCTTTTTCCTTTTAGTTAACAGATTCTGCCAACTGTGTCATTTCTGTCCTTTTTCTGTTTTCATTTTTATACTTTGATGTAGGACCATGGTGCTCCCATCTCCTTATAATTAATGCTCTACGTTGGAGACTRTGATCTTATTTTCCAAGGCTGCAAAGCCTGAATTTCTCTCTTGTCTTACAGCATCTATTTCTGATCTGGACAGTGATATCCCTGAACTACGTAAGGATTCAAAATATTTCTCTGTGGAGAACAACATAAAAATCATTGACATATGTTTTGTCATAAACTCTTCACAGAGCTATGATTAGTGAYGCAGTAATGTCATAATTCCATGCTGCTCCCAAATATTTCACTAAATCATATTACAAACTTGGGACCTGCTGTACACATCCTAAATTAGCCGTAGAAAGGATGCAGGAGAGAGAATTTGTTCTTCTGAGCAGATTTTCTTCAGGGTATTTTTAAGTAGGACTATGGTGGGCATCCACAGTTTCCTACTGGCCTAGAAGTAATGCATACATTTCTTCCATAAGCTGATAAAACCTTCACAGATAGTATTCTGTAAGTGATAGCAGGTCAAATAAACCAGAAAATTYAGGTTTGACTTTTTGTCTGGTGCTTTTCATGCTCTTAGAATTTCTGCCACTGAAGGATGTTAGTAATTTTGCAGTCATGTATCTTATTTCAGTTTGGATCTGTGTGTATGCCTTCCCGTAGGATATGAAGAACTACCAGGGGAAAATGTTACTCTAATTTGGAGTCACTTAGAAGATGGGGATATGTATTTTGTATTGATTAAAGARGAGAATATACATACAGGCATTAAAATTCAGTGAATCATACAACTTGTGTTACRCTTGGGGACTGTGTTCTTTTTACATTTATATTTAGTGGGTGGAACAGATGGTGAGGATAGTTTATTGTGAAGCATTCATGAAAATGGGCACTTCTTCCATGCAATTGTCCTGTATAACAGGGCATTCATTTGTTTGTAATGGAGTYTTTGCTGTACTGAAATAGAGTATGTTGGAAATACGTGTTGGAAAAGGTTATCCTGTGCCGAGTGCAAAGTAATCCTTGTCTTATTCAGTTGCTATTGTCTGTTGAAAAATAAAATATCAAGAATGTTTGCCRGAGGCTGTGACTGAAGTGGAGCTTTTAGAATTTACAGATCTGCGTTTTCTTGCATATGTATTTTTTGGGGTTATAGACTTTCGGGGAAGAGACCATCATAGGTCCTCTAAGAAATCTAAAGCATAACTGCATTCYTTTTATTCATCTTACTCTTAAGTAGTTTGTAGCATTTTAGGCATTCCTAATAGTCAGTATGCCCAGATTTTCTCATTTGTAAAACATACTTATTCTTCTTAACATGTCAGTTGTAATTGTTGCTGAGAGGTCCTATGTAAATGTCAAATATCATCATTGCTCACAGCAGTGGAATATTMTTGTAATCGCTTTTTTAGAGATTCTGATGGAGTTTGTGTTTTATATGGTTCAGACTCCTCTTATACCATAATTGAAATATTTGAAAGTATGACATATATTTGAAAGACTGAAACCTGAAAACATTTTCTGGGAGGGTTCAGAAGCTTTTGACTTTTCTGAGCCACCTGGACTTTGATACATTAAGACTTAGACAAAAAAAGGGATTGTAGCAGTATATATATATATATTTTGAAGTGGGTAGCTCTTTAAGAAGCTTTAAAAAGTGTCTTCTAAATATTATCCTGGAAATACTAACAAAATCAGAGCAGACAGGATCTCCAATGGTCATCTAATTTGCTCATCAGTCATAGGTCAATACCAGATACACATCTGTCATTCTTGACAGGTATTTGTCTAACATATTCTTAAAAGATTTCCACTGGAAATGGAGACTGTAATACCTCCCCATGGATCTAACCCAACATCTCCTTATTCTTGGTTGAAAGCTTTCTTTTCCCAGTATCTTAACAGAATTGTTTCTTACTGTGCAAGAGTTTAAGCTGAGAGCCTTTCTGCCCACTGTGTAAAGTAAGAAAACATTATTCTGTAGCGCTCTGCATAAGCCGTGTATGTATTTCCCTTTCCCCATCTTACTCMTGGGTTTGTTGCTCACATACCCTGTTTTCTAATCTCATTATTCTTGCTGCTGCCTTCTGTGTGTYGATCATTTTAGATCATTGGTTCTTAGGAAAATTCTGAAAAATGCACGTTTTCAGGCATTAACATACTAACTAGTCTCGTCTCTTTGATCACCCTGTTCACACAGGTAGTTTTAGCAGGTGCAATGGGACAAGTTGTGTAGGCCATAGGGCACTGCTGATGGCGAAAGAGAAGCTGTCCATAATGATTGACACACATCAGCCTCATCAAGCAGCCTTTTGCTTGAAAATAGGTGTTTMTATAATTATTGTTGATGACATGACTGTTTTCTGTAGCTGTTGAGTTGAGTTGGTCTCTAGCTGGAAGTAAGAATACATCTGCTGTGATGTTGACTGGAACATGGATCCTGTAAGAGGTCAAGAGGCAAATACAGGAAATATAAAAGCTCTTTAGAAAAGGCTGTTTTACCATTCTCAGAGTATCATTTCTCTAGAGCTTACTGTATTATACAATAAAAGCTGAAAACTTAAGAAGACTTGTTCCTACTCTCTTCCTTTATTTATGTTTAAAGTTATTTTTGTTTATTTACTCCAGGACATTTGAAATGGACCAAAGCTGAGGATATTGACATAGAAACACCGGGATCTATTCTAGTGAACACTAACCTGAGGGCTTTAATAAATAAACACACCTTTGCYTCTTTACCTCAGCATTTTCAACAATACCTCCTGCTTTTGCTTCCAGAAGTAGACAGGCAGGTAAGTAGCATCATACAATTTTATGTTTTTTTAATGAGACTTTTTTACAATGTGTTTGCATAGGCTGATTTGACTGACTAGGAATTGTTGCAGGAAAGATTAAGGAGAAAATCTCCGTACTTTCTTAGGTAAAACTGTTAGATGTAGAATGACAGTAAAGTTTATCTAATAAAACCAGCTCCTGCTTCTTTGCTTTTTCTGAAAACTGCAGCTCCTTGATTTGTCAAAATGGAAACTGGGCAGCAAATCTTTCAAACTTGCCAAATCACTTAATTAGCTTTTCTACTTATGGTGTTGAAGATAAACTTCTCATTCTCAAGACTTTATTTATTTTGAGTCTCTTTTCACCTGTGATCTTTCTTGGTGCTCTGCCAGCAATGTCCAGGTCAATATTAGTTCTGTTCGTTTGTTCTCCTGCTCTYCACCTTTTACACAAGCCTACRTATGCTCTCTCAGCTCCAGTGCACTGAATCCATTCATTCACACCTTTTGTAAGGAATATCTTCAGAGCTTATGTCTGTGTGCCTGCATCTGTTGAGGMGAATGATTTGGAGAGTTACAGACTGGAAATAAAATTTCAGTTTTGTGATCTTTCCTACAATGTCTGGTCCTTTCACTAACCTTGTTGGTCAGGTTGCAGSGTTTCTTAGAGTGAGAAAACAGGCTTTCCAGCATGTCTAGTAGTTAAAATAGAAAAGAGAGTGCAAACCAATTTCATTTACTCACTTGCCTCACTTAGGGATTCAAACAATCTTGCCACTTTCAATGGGGAATATTCATGCACTTAATTCAGACACATTAGCTTACCCAGATAGGGCATTACTTTTTTTTGCAGATGGTCAWTATCCCTCTTTTAATGTAGTAACTAGAAAATGCAGACCACTTAAATGACCAATTAAAACATGCATCTTAAACAAATCAGTATTTCATTGCAGTATTGCAGGTTTCATTTGTTAAACTGTTAGTAGTTAGTCCACCACTAAAGCAGGGAGAAGAAGTTCAATATGACACAAAAAGAGAAAGAAAAATTGCATTGATGTGTGTTTACTCAGCCTCTTATCCAATTAGATACTATATGTTGTGGACTGTATTTATGCTTTTAATAACAGAATGCTTGAGAAGGAACATCAAAACAAGATCTGTAGGAGATGCAATACAAATGTGTTTATTCTCAAGCTCCCACTATGCAGTCCAAGTCAGTATTGACAAATTTTAAGAAAACTTTTTCCCTTGCTGTCAAACCGATTTTAGTGTACTGCCCAGCAAGTATTTTCCTGATAATTTTGATTTTTTGTTCTCTTTCTAGTTAATTCATGAGAACAGATTAAAAGAATGTACTAGGTAAAATCGTGTTTTCTCTCCAACCATCAAAGACCCAATGTTCATAAATTGCGTTTCAATTATGGGGTCTTTATTTAGAAGTATTTTACTTTAGAATTTATTTTTTTAAAATGTAGTATCTACAACTGACAAGCCTCTTACCTTCTTATCAGTGTTCTTACAGCAGAGTATTTTGGCAAGAAAGTCAATAGAATATTTGTTGAATTTAAACATGCCTCACTAGCTAAAAGCAATGCATTCTTTTAACTTCTATTTCAAAAAGCATCACATAATGCATGTAATATGTTATTCCAGAGGCCSAACCATACATAAAGGGACATTTTTACTTCACAAGCAAATGTTGTGATGAGACATTTGCAGGTGTCCTGTCTGTCATCTCACAGCATTCTTTGAGTTTGTGTAGCATACCAGGCTTTCACCTACATTTGGAAGGCAGGAGTCACCAGTCATCTCTGGAAGCTTAATGGAATTGTTTGGCCTCTAAGTGGGATAGTTTAAAAATTGTTTTCTGTCAGAGAGTGGAATAGCTCTGAACCCTCATTTTGCAGAAATCTTGGCAGAGAAAGAAATGCATCTCTTTTCTTGATATCTGAGAATATATCCTTGGCTATGCCTAAAGTGTGGCATCCCTGATACTAATGTTCTTTTCCTTCCCATGGCAAGGGGAAAATGCCAGTGTAGTGCTCAAGGATCAAGTAAAAGGAGAGAGAACTTTTGCCAGGGAGCTCTAGTGGAGGTCTCTTCTGTTGGTTACTCTTAACTGGACAAGGCAAGGATATTCAGTTTTCCCCTTTTACTTCTACTTTCTAAATCAAATGGGGCATCAGGCAAGCAGAAATGGTGCCACACTATTCTTTGAGTTAGTTGCATATCTCTGGGGGTTCAGTTTTATTGTTTTATATTGTCCTTTTCTTCATTTGTCTGAGAATTCTTATTTCTGCTCTTCTGGCTCAGAAGTGTTTCCTCCCTGTGCTCTGCAGTTGGCTGCTGCTGTCTTCCCCAGAGAAAGCTGCATTTCTGTGTTGCCATGTGGATATAGTATGTGAAGTACTGTAATAAATGGCACTATAAAAATGTAATAGAGTTATGCTATTTGTGTATATATAGTGATCTGTGAAATAAATTACTAATGAAGTGCAGTCTCATTTAGGCTTTATTACTKCTCCACATAGAAAAACCCCATGATGAATGATTCTTTGTCATTTCTGTCATAAACACCATTTTTCTGGGTGGTATAACTCCTCCTCCTTAAATCGTACTCAGCCAAAACTTGTCATGCATGTGTCACTTTGAATAAGCATTTTTAGAAACCATTAGTTAAGGGAGTTGAGATTTTCTGGTTTTTWGTGTGCAAGTGTTTATTATAAATAAATGACTTCTGTCTCAACCTTGGTTGGTCTAATGTGCTCAAGAAAAGTTTAGGGACAAGTTAGGAGCTTGTTGTGCTGTGTTTTCTGATCTTTCTTTTGTCTTCAGGTTTTGTGGTTGCTATCAGGGTGCTGTTGGAGCCCATGGAACAGAAAGCCTTAGGAAAGATGTCCCAGAATGGAAGAACTGAACAGCTCTTCTGATGTTCATGCTGTCATTTTTCCTACTCTGGCTAGATTTTTGATAGAGTGGAAGTGTAGGATCATTGCCTTTTTTCCCCTTGAGAAAAGGTTAACTGTATCGTGAGTTACATTCACAGTTTAAATTTTTTTCAACTTGTATATTAGTTAAAATTTTATTTCAGTAGCAATGAGGCCTTGTGTCATTTTCTGTATTCAAAATGCCTATGAAAGAAACTGGAGCAAGTTGGAAGATGTGGTAGATGCATTTTATCAGGGATTTTATTTGTTTTAATTTGGGTTTGGAGTAAATTAGTATGTAGACATTGTTCAAATCATAGAAACATAATGTCCTGAATTGGAAGGGACCCATTAGGATCAKGCAGTCAAACTTCTAACCCTACATGGACAGCCCCAAGAATCACACCTTGTGCATTGTTCAAACACYTCTTGAACTCTGTCAGGTTTGGTGCTGTGACACTTCCCTGGGGATCCTGTTCCAGTGCCCAACCACCCTCTGGGTGAGGAACCTTTGCCTGATATCCAACCCTGACATAACTTCAACCATTACCTCAAGTCCTTTCACTGGTCACCACCACAGRGAAGAGATCAATGCCTKAGAAGCTGCCATGTCCCAGACTTGTCTGTTTAGCAGTCTGCTCCAAAATCTTGTGTCACTGGTTACCAAGAGCCTCATGACTGAAATTTGAACATCCAGATTTTCAGATCTACATTAATCTATATGGATTCAAAGACTCAAAATCTTTGAATCAGTATCAGTAACTCAGCTGATACAGAAGCCTGTTGGGTYATTCCCTGGGAGACCTGACCAAGCTGGAAATACAGAAAACAYGCAGGTGGAGAAACTATATGGAAAGAAAAGTCTCTGCACAAGAGATTTCAGTTATCACAAATTCCAGMAAAATATTTTTCTTTGCATCTCTAATTAGAACATTCTACAGCTAAAAAACAATGGATTTTTCACCAAACACCTACTTCTGACATTGATGCACCAAGCTGATAATTACATGTAACAGAAGCCTTCTTGACCAGCTCTCAGGAAATACTCACCTTCAAGGCAGGAAGTTTCACTCTGTAGATTGCTGTATGGCATCAGTGAGTTTTTAAATATTAATTAAATAATGTATATTGTGCAAGGACGAGTAACAGGTCTGTACAAGAGGTTGCTTAAAAGGAATAGCAGTTGGCAATATTGTGTCTACACCAGCTTTCCTTGTTGGTGCTTCTGGGAAGTCAAATTCCTGCTCTTAGTGCTGGGATATGGGCAAAAGGAAGGGAAACACACCACACACCCACCTGTTCAGCTTCCAAGAAATGCAGCTTTATCTGAGGAGTGGCAGGAAGCTGAAGTGGTTTTACTAATCCTTAGAGAGATAAAGAAAATGTTCTTTCCTGAATGCCCTGAAAAAAAATGTGTCTTTCCAGGCTCTGGGAATGCTTAACACTTTAGGATCTTTAGGAATTTAGCTCTCCTGCGTTTTGTCTTCTGGTAATTCTGGGCTCTTTTGAGTGTCTTGTGATTTGCACGTGCTCTGCCCTTTCACATRGGATGTGAACTTCTTCCTACAGAAACACTTCAAAGCCTCATCAGATGTGTGTGTTAAGTAGCGCTGCCATTTTATTGGACCAGATCTGTTCAGGAACAGCATTTATAATGGTGGAAAAATCCCAGTAACAGTTCATATGTCTCAGCTTTATTTGTTTAATGAAAGAAACTTAGCAATTATCTATCTTTTATCTACAGTTTATAGATTGTCAAGTTAGTTACTCAAATTAAAAACTTCAATACTCTTAAAGAATTAYTTAAGTCATGTAGTATTGTAGAAGRGCCTGTGAATATTTCGGGTTTGTGGCAAGTTAGTCTACTAAAAAGAAAAAGCTGATATACAAATCTAAGAACTCCAAAGTGAGCCAAAACACATCTTGCTRTCTTTCTTTTAATTTCTAAATCAGTGAATCCCAAAGTAATTACTGTCTTTTGGGTCAGTGCTACTACTGCTATGTGCTACATCACAGCATCCTTTTATTTTAAGGTCAGTGCAGGTTCTGTATTTCTGTCCTGGCCTGTTCGATTTAGGTTGGTGCTGGCAT